TGTGGCTGCCTACGCTCCTCCTGCCATTCCCAAACCAATAGCCGGACCAAGTTTTCCTGCTCCTCATAGTTCTCCCAATCCCTTCTTAAATCCAGGTTTGAAAGAACAGCCCGTGCCCCCAGCTAGTGGTATGAGCCCCTTTGCACCTTCTGGAAATTCCTTTCCTTTACAGCAGCAACAGTCACAAGCCCAGCAACAGACCAATCCATTCCTTTCTCCAGGCACAAGCAGCATCGGCTCGGCTAATAAAGTGGGAGAATCTGAACCCCTGTTTGCCAGTACAGGGTCTGCTTATAAAGAATCGTCTGCCGAGGCGCACCAGGAGGGGCAATGGCTGGGGAAGCAGGAGGGGCTGTGGCAGAGCATGGAGCAAGGGGCTGGCTCCAAGGGGAATGGGCAGAAACAAGGTGCTTCCTTGATGACTCAGAAGCAAGCTGGTTCTATGGCTCAGAAACAACCTGCTTCCATGGCTCAGAAGATTCTTGCCAGTAACCCATTCCTTGTGATTCCTGGCATGAGCAGTAGTGGTAATGGTGCTGGTTATAACGAGGATAGCAGGGGTTTGCTTGGTGGGGAGGATACTCCCAAGGGACTGCAGGAAGTATCGCCTGGGAATCTGCATACAAATCCAAGCATTCAGCCACAGCAGCAGCAGTGGCAACAGCAGTACTCACACCAGCAGCAGCAGCACCTACAGCAGCAGCAGTATCAGCAGCAACAGGGGAACTACGCTGCTAGTCTGACACACTCGAATGCTAAACAGCAGGAAGAAGCCCGACGGCTGATGGATGTGAATCTAGGACTCAATGTGGCCGAAGCAGTTGTGACTGAACCAGGAGGAGGTTCTAATGAAGGGAAGGGGGGGCATTCTACAGCCGGACCAATGTACACTGAGCCTGAGTCCCCTGGGTGGCCTAGTACTGCGTCTCAAGATGATCCAATGTAAGTCCACAACAACTGCACATTTAATTAATGTGCATGTATTTATGCCCCCCTTTTCCATGTTTAGCTGGACTGTCCGGGTAGCATGCCTCTCAAGCACCGCAGTGGTAGCATGTCCTTCAACATCGAGCACTTCGTAATTCCTTTTGTGATGTGTGCCTTGCCTTCTCCTTTCAGGGAGTCCCCGGCTGCGCTTCTTAGTGGCTGGTCAGATTCGAAGTCCAAGGTTTCCAGCACTATACCTACTGCCATGATGCCATCAACATGGCTTGGCCGAGGTGGTCATACACGACTGGGGAAGTAAGGTTGCTTATGATTTTTGTATTGAGTATGTGACAAGGCGGTTGCTGAGGAGGTATGATATAATTAATTTAGCGTGAATTGTAGTTGCCGCGTAGGAAAGAAACATTAGAGAGCGTGCTGGTTTCTTTAGTCTTTAGTGCAAGCTCCACAAATAGGTGCAGAGGATCAGTGTACTGTAGATATTTATATGTTTCGCATGGGATGTAATATGATGGTATGGCGGTAATCGCATCTGCGTGTCTCGGACCCATCACACACGGCGTGGTGAGCGCTGGTTCTTGTGTTGTGGTGGTCGGTTACCACCCAGCCTCCATCTCCGCCACCCACACTATGACACATCATGACCGAGGTTTTCTCAGGCACGTCTCAGCTCGACAAACAGCGCGACGCGGTTCCGACCCCTGATATTTCCTCGCGTCGCAATTTCACAATTCGTCCCACAAATATATTGCGCTCGCTCTCCTTCCCCACCCACCCGCCCCCTCCCATTCCCAACCCAAATCATCGCGAAACAAGCACCTCACAAGCGGCATACAGCACACCAGCGCCTGCTTGTGGGAGTGATTTGTGAGATGTCAGGCAGGCGATTTGTGATTTCCCTGGTTCTGTTGTCCTGGCCCAGACCAAATCCCTCCGTGTTCCTGATTTCCGTCCCAAAACACTAACTCGAGACACCCTCCCGACCCGAGGGGCCGAGTCCCACCCAACCACTTACCTACCTAATCAGTCAAGCCGCACTAGCCAGAAAGCACCTTCCCCATAAACGCGTTAGCTAACCTAGCCACCTGCTTCGTCTTTTAGTTTCTGCTGATGAAAGCCGGCCCCTCCTTGGGTCCGTACTACGTACCTTGCCAGAATCTCCTAACGCATTCATCACCATGCGTTTCGGTTGCGGCGCAATGATTTCCGTCTCACACGACGTCGTTTCGCTAGTGCCTCTCGTACTCACACTCTATAACGAGTCATCTCAGCACGTCGTTGGATACGCAATGTAGTAATGAAACAGCCATCAGACAGAGTTGCATTAGAGTGACATAAGTAAACCCGGACATGGGCGTTCATTTGCTGACGAACGCATGGCGCGCTCTACATAAGCCCTCTAGACTCGGCATTTCCCGCGCTTTTTTTCCTCGCAAGGAGGGCTCGCTCGATTCATAAAAACTGGTTCTGTTTTTTAGCCGAGAGGTAGCTTCTGAGCCGAAGTTCATTCCGAAGCACCCCAAAAGCCGTCTCATCAGTCGCATTTGCCACGCATTTGCTGTCGCAAGGGTCCGCCATTTATAGGAACCAAGTCTCGACGGCTTGAGGATTGCTGCGCGCTGCCTCTGGTAACGGATCACCGCACTCTCAGCATTTCGGCTCTATTTATTTCTTAGGCGCCTCAAAAGCAGACTCGTGGGCAAAAAAAGAGCTGTGCGCTGCTGCCTCTGGTAATGGATCACCGCACTCTTAGCATTTCGGCTCTCGGCGTATTTCACGCAGATTTCTGCCGTTAGCACTACCCAGCGATAGCTCTAGTGCCAGTAGCACTACCCGGTAGCACCGCCAATGGGTTTCTCCCGTTTTCGCCTCCTAGCAGAAACCCGCACGGGAGAAGGCGGCGATCCTGCGCGCGACGTTCGACAACAGTTAGCAGTCCGAGAACAAGAAATCCAGCATTCTTCTCCTTTACGTTCTCAACGCCGTTCGAACGTCTCTTCCTCGCTGCTCCCTCTTGCTCGAATGCTAGCCTTACCACTACTAGCAGTCCTGCTCCTTTTTCTAGAAATTACTCCGCCTTGTCATGCCGCTCATGCCTTTCCTCTTTCCCCGCATAGAGTCGACACCCGCAGCGTGGCAAGCGTGCAAGAGCCGCAATTCAGCAGTTCGGGTCGGGATGATTCGACACCCATGGAAAGAGACGACGTGGTGATTGTTAAGGCGACTCAAAAGGTTGATACGAACAGAAATGTGCCAGAAATATGGAGCTCGTCTCTCGGGTTACCACCGACCAACGCGACATCCGCGACGGGTCCCCGGCGCGAGCTTCAGCTGTGGCGAAAGCGCAAGCAGCGAAAGCGAAAGAGTTCGTACATCTTCTGTTATCGGGACATGTACACGCGGCAACCAGCGGCTCTCGCGGCGCTAAAAGCGGGCCGCAATCGGCGGCGATGCCCCAGCGGGACCGTGAAAAGCGCCGGCGCGTGCTACGACAGCTGCGCTCCGGGGTATAAGGGGAAAGGCCCGGTTTGCGCGCGGCGATGCACGCTGTACGGGCCTAGCTGGGTGGACTGCGGGTACGGGTGCGCGCCGGATTACCACATGTGCGTCAAGACGACGTACCGTCAGGCTGGAGCTTTCAGCTTCTTCTTCTTTAAGGTATGCCCCCTCGCCCCTCGCGCCCTCGCCCCTTGCCCCCTTCCCTTCGCGCCCTCGCCCCTCGCCCCCTTCCCTTCGCCCCCCTCCTCTCGCCCCCGACATTGGGGCTAACTGGGTTACTTGTTTTGAGAATCAGAAGAGATCAAATCTTCCCCACCCACTCACCCTCTTCTCGCTCTCCCCCACTCCCCCCCTTCCAAACCCACCGCATCACACCTATACTTACCCTTTTCCACATTCCCATGAAATCTCTCCCACCTACTCTCCCTCTTCTCTCTCTCCCCCCTTCCCCACCGCATCACACCTATACTTACCCTTTTCCACATTCCCATGAAGCTGGGTGCCTTGTTTTTAGACTTGAACCAAGTCGTAACACGGTTTAGCTCGGTTGAGCATGGTGCCTTTCCTCCTCCCTCATCCCTCCTCAGGTCTACCTACCCGGAACAGGCCCTTTCCTTGACATTGCCATGAAGCTGGGAGCCTTGATTTCATATTTTTAAGTGCCAGAACACGGTTAACACAGTGTCTCTCCTCTCCTCTTCCCCTGCCCTCCCCATATCCCAGCTCTACCTACCCGGAACAGGCCCTTTCTTTGACATTGCCATGAGGCTGGGAGCCTTGATTTCATATTTTTAAGTGCCAGAACACGGTTAACACAGTGTCTCTCCTCTCCTCTTCCCCTGCCCTCCCCATATCCCAGCTCTACCTACCGGGAACTGGCCCTTTCCTTGACATTGCCATGAAGCTGGGAGCCTTGCTTTCATATTTTCAAGTGCCAGAACACGGTTAACACAGTGTCTCTCCTCTCCTCTCCCCCTCCTCTTCCCCTGCCCTCCCCATATCCCAGCTCTACCTACCCGGAACAGGCCCTTTCTTTGACATTGCCATGAAGCTGGGAGCCTTGATTTCATATTTTTAAGTGCCAGAACACGGTTAACACAGTGTCTCTCCTCTCCTCTTCCCCTGCCCTCCCCATATCCCAGCTCTACCTACCCGGAACAGGCCCTTTCTTTGACATTGCCATGAAGCTGGGAGCCTTGATTTCATATTTTTAAGTGCCAGAACACGGTTAACACAGTGTCTCTCCTCTCCTCTTCCCCTGCCCTCCCCATATCCCAGCTCTACCTACCGGGAACTGGCCCTTTCCTTGACATTGCCATGAAGCTGGGAGCCTTGCTTTCATATTTTCAAGTGCCAGAACACGGTTAACACAGTGTCTCTCCTCTCCTCTCCCCCTCCTCTTCCCCTGCCCTCCCCATATCCCAGCTCTACCTACCCGGAACAGGCCCTTTCTTTGACATTGCCATGAAGCTGGGAGCCTTGATTTCATATTTTTAAGTGCCAGAACACGGTTAACACAGTGTCTCTCCTCTTCCCCTGCCCTCCCCATATCCCAGCTCTACCTACCGGGAACTGGCCCTTTCTTTGACATTGCCATGAAGCTGGGAGCCTTTGCTGCCAAGGTACGGCACAGTACGGCATGTTTTGGCACGGAACGGCATGGTATGGCATGGTATGGCACGGAACGGCACAGTAAGGTACGGTATGGGAACGGCGCACATGGCATGGCATTGAATGGTATTGCATGATGTTTCGCTGTAGGGTACTGATCTTACTGTAGCCACCTCATAATCAGACCTATTTTCCTTTTTCCTACTTACTCAATCAACAGCTATACAGGCGAGTGAAGCCGTCCAAGTACAGGAAGCGCAAGGACTATTCCAGTATCGAGCTGCCCACCTGCCTTCTTCTTTTCCTCTTTCTTTCTATTATGGTCCCGCCTTAACCAAACAGCTGTACAGGCGAGTGAAGCCGTCCAAGTACAGGAAGCGCAAGGACTATGCCAGTATCGAGCTGGCCACTATGGAGTCTCGAAGCATGGCCGCCACCTTCCTTGCTGCGTTCGGCCAGCCTGTCAGCAACGACAGCCGCACGCACGTCACCTTGGTCCCTGCACACGCGCAGGTAGGCCCCTCACCCTCTCTCGGTCTCTCTCAGGCCGCCACCTTCCTTGCTGCGTTCGAGGAGCCTGCAAATACAGCCGCACGCACGTCACCTTGGTTTCCCCGCATGCCCTGGTGCGAGTGTGAAGGGAGGGGGCAAGGGATGTAGGGGAAGTGGGGGCTAGGGGAATAGTGAGTGCTGGAGTCCCTCTTGCCTTCTTGCCTCTCTCCCTACCTTTTGAGAATTCTCAAAGGCACTTTTTTTATAATTCTTTCGAGAATTTGGGAGTCATTTTTGAAAATTCTCAAAAGAGGAATACTGAGTGCTGGAGTCCCAATTGCCTTCGTGCCTCTCTCCCTACCTGACTTCATACCTCCCTCCTCCCCTCTTCCCTCTCTCCCTCTCTCCCTCTCCCTCCCAACACCCCAGGACAAGCAAGCAGCGTTTTCTGCCTTCGGCGCCTCCCACTGGTGATGCACCAACCCATTGGGAAAGCAGCCAGGGCGCTGGTATCGGCAGTACGACTACTCGACACGGTGCTGAATGTGGAGGACTTGGCCTGTTCCCTACCTCACTGCCTCTCCTCCCTTACACCAGCCAGGGCGCTGGTATCAACAGTACGACTACTCGACGCGGTGCTGAATGTGGAGGTTTGGGCCCACTCCTTACCCCTCCTTTCTCCCCCCTTATCCCCGCTTCCTTCTTCCCCACCCCCCTTCTTCCTCCCAACACCCCAGGACAAGCAAGTAGCCTTCTCTGCCTTCCGCGCCTCCCACTCAGTGATGAGCCAACCCATTGGGAAAGTAGCCAGGGCACTGGTATCAGCAGTGCGATTACTGGACACGGTGGTGAACGTGGAGGACTTGGCTCACTCCCTCTCATCTCTCTCCTCGTTCCCCCTCTCTTCCCACACATCCGCCCCCCTCCTATCCTTCAGGACAAGCAAGCAGCGTTCTCCACCTTCCGCGCCTCCCACTCAGTGATGAGCCAACCCATTGGGAAAGTAGCCAGGGCACTGGTATCAGCAGTGCGATTACTGGACACGGTGGTGAACGTGGAGGACTTGGCTCACTCCCTCTCATCTCTCTCCTCGTTCCCCCTCTCTTCCCACACATCCGCCCCCCTCCTATCCTTCAGGACAAGCAAGCAGCGTTCTCCACCTTCCGCGCCTCCCACTCAGTGATGAGCCAACCCATTGGGAAAGCAGCGAGGGCACTGGTATCAGCAGTGCGATTACTGGACACGGTGGTGAACGTGGAGGACTTGGCCAAGTACGACCCCTCGGGCGTGCTCAACATGGTTGTCTCCTTCGGTCATCCCATGTGCCGCGATGGTGAGTAGTTGGGGTAATGGGGGTATGGGACAGGCAGCAGGGATGCTGTGTGTGATGTGAGGAGTGGGGGCACTCCTATCAATCAGCAGTGCGTGCTAGACACGGTGATGAATGCGGAGGACTTGGCCAAGTACGACCCGTCGGGAGTGGCAGGGCAGTATGGAGGGCAGTAAGGGGGTAAGGGACAGAGAGCCCGTGTCCTGGTGAGGCTGCTAAACACGGTGGTGAATGTGGAGGACTTGGCCAAGTACGACCCGTCGGGAGTGGCAGGGCAGTATGGAGGGCAGTAAGGGGGTAAGGGACAGAGAGCCCGTGTCCTGGTGAGGCTGCTAAACACGGTGGTGAATGTGGAGGACTTGGCCAAGTACGACCCCTCGGGAGTGGCAGGGCAGTATGGAGGGCAGTAAGGGGGTAAGGGACAGAGAGCCCGTGTCCTGGTGAGGCTGCTAAACACGGTGGTGAATGTGGAGGACTTGGCCAAGTACGACCCCTCGGGAGTGGCAGGGCAGTTTGGAGGGCAGTAAGGGGGTAAGGGACAGAGAGCCCGTGTCCTGGTGAGGCTGCTAAACACGGTGGTGAATGTGGAGGACTTGGCCAAGTACGACCCCTCGGGAGTGGCAGGGCAGTATGGAGGGCAGTAAGGGGGTAAGGGACAGAGAGCCCGTGTCCTGGTGAGGCTGCTAAACACGGTGGTGAATGTGGAGGACTTGGCCAAGTACGACCCCTCGGGAGTGCTCAACATGGTTGTGTCGTTTGTGCACCCCATGTACCGCGATGGTGAGTGATGGGCAGAGAAGGAGCAGGGCAATGTGGGTGGCAGGGCAGTGTGGGTGGCAGGGCAGTGTGGATGGCAGGGCAATGTGGGTGGCAGGGCAGTAAGGAGGGCAGTCAGTAGGTGTCAAGTGTGTAACCACCCGAGGAACCCCCTGCGTCATCGCCCCCACACGCATCCCTTCTCAAACCCTCCCCTGCCCAATCTATCCCCTTCTCTTTTCCCCTCTACCCTTCCAAACCAGACGCCTGTGTCAAGTGTGTGACCACCCGGGCCACCCCATGCATCATTGCCCCCACGTGCATCGCCGGAAAGTGCGTGAATCTCGGGCAGAAAAAAGACGGGTCCGCCTGCGCGGATTTCGACTGGGGCGGCAACTCCTACACGGGGCACTGCCAGGCTGGCAAGTGCGTCAGCAAGGCCGTCCAATCGTATTACGCCAGCAAGCAGGCGGACAAGCTGTGGATCCCCGAGGGCTATGAGGCGCCGAATGTGACTATAGCGGTGGATCGGGGAGTGTATGCGACGAGCGAGCGCGAGTATATGGAGACGAGCTTGGTGTATTGGGATGAGCTGGCACGGGAGTCGGAGAGTTGCTCGTTGAATAATGGCGGGTGCGGGTCGCTGGTGTGTCAAGTTGACGTGGAGAGGACAGTGATTCGCATGGTAAGGAGAGCACAGTGATTCGCATGGTAAACCATGGTAACGCAGGGGGATACTCCCAGCAAGTAACGTGCTTCAGCTTCAGTGTTCAGCTCTGCAACCTCTGTGTTTTTCCCCTCATGCAACTAGTTTCCCGCATACATCTCTTCCATTTGATATCGCATATGATATGAGTGATGATGAAACTAGTTTCCACTCTTGAATTCTTCATGTTCCTGTGTGCTTGCCCATCACTCCTTCACCACTGAAACCCCTATTCTACACCACTACTCAAACCAGGTCGCTTCTTTGCACCTGCCCCACCAACCTAACATATTATTACCCGTCTCACTTATTTGCAATCTTCCTCCTTCCCCCCCCCCTTCTCCATTGCTTTCACTCCCATCCAGGTCACGGTTTTGCACCTGCTCCTCCTGCAATCGACTTCCCCACTGCCTCGAACCTAACATATCATTACCCGCTCCATCCATTAGCATGTATGGAGCAATGCAAACTTGATGCAAGGTGTAACCTTGTGGTTACCACACGCGCTCATGAATGTTGGCTCAAAGGCAGCGAGCTTGGCCCTCCAGTTGAAGCCGATCGATCAATTCAGGCTTATAAGAAGCTAAGTAGTACCGGTGTTGCTGGTGCAACTAGAAATGTGGATTTGAAATATGGGCCCATGAATCAAGACGTTGCGGAAGCGGATGGTATGGAGGGAATAAGCGGGAACGCCGTTTTCCTTGTAGGGGCATCAGTGGGGGTACAAGATGGGCCTTAGTTGTTTCCATCAAATTGCTGTACAATAATTAGTTAATATAGGTGTTTTTTATCCGAAAGAAAAAAACCGCTACGGCGATTGTGCCACGAGCTTATAGGGAATCGGCGACATTCAAGATTGGAGAGTCTCGAGAAAATCTCCCAGGGACTGCAAGTTCAAGCTCCAACACATCTTTGTGCCGCGCCGCCACGCACTTGCGAAATAAAACCCCCCAGGAATCTAGAGACTACATTTCGCGAAGACTCACGACGATTGAAGAAGCCAAGCTGCCTTTCCTGTCTAAGTACCTTCGTCCCGTAATCTCAATCCAGTTGATGATTGTTTGAATCCTGATCCCGAAGGTGATGGCTTCCGAATCGGCCACCGGCTTTAGGAATCTCACCAACCCAGTGCGACGAGCAGTTCCCAAAGGCCCAAACGACGCTGCTAAGGGTGAAGGAGTTAGCCCTGATACGACATCCGTTGACCGCGACTCTCTATCCTCTCTAAGGAATGCTTCGCATTCGCAGTCAAATGAAGAATCTTCCGCAATGGATAATAACAGCAGAGGTAACAGCAGTTCGCGAAATTCCCTCGCCGCTCGAGTATCGCTCCCTGGCGCAACGTTTCCCGTCGGCGTCGCAGCGTTCGCAGTCGCGGTCGCGCTCGCGAAAACCTCCTCTCTGGTCATCCGCTTGACGACGACGACGACGACGACGTCGTCGCCGGCGCAGTCGCCGGCGCAGTCGCTTGCCGTCGCTTCGCTCGCCGCCGTCGCCGTGATTCTCCTTGCGATCTTCGTACTGCTTCTTCTACACCTGCGCTCTCTCGTGCCGCTATCAACGGCGGGAATTTTGGAAAAAAATCCTGGGGGAGATGGACAAATGGAAGGGAGGGGGAAGAGAGGCGTAATGAGTGAAAAGGGGGAGAGAAAAGGTGGAGAGGGAAAAAGAGGGAGACAAGTAGAGGCAAGGGGAGACGAGGGAAAGGAAAATAAGGGAAGTGCAGAGAAGGAGGAGAGGGTGAGAGGCCTTTGGGAAATGCAAGGTCCCCCAGTCCCTAGGGGTTGTGGGGAACGTGCGGGAGATCGTGAGCAAGGGTCACCATCAGTGCCACGTGGACTGGATGGCTGCTCATGGCCACCTCTACTCGTGAGTGTGCAGTGCTGTGTGGTACGGCGCAGTTGTGGGTGGTATTGTGCGGTGTGCGGTTCGGTGCTTCCCCCAGTGAACTCAGGCAGTGGGAGTGGGGGTGGTGGGGAATGTTATCGAGATCGTGAGCAAGGGTCACCATCAGTGCCACGTGGACTGGATGGCAGCACACGGCCACCTCTACTCGTGAGTGTAAGGTTCTGTGCGGTGCTGTAAGGTGCTCTGTCTTGTGCTGCGGTCATGTATGTGTGGTGCTCCTGCTGTAGTTTCCAAGTCAACCAATCCCTCCCGCTCCTCCCCTTCCACGACTCTCAACTGCCATGTCTCCCTCCCACCCTTCTTTCAGCTACTGCTACGGTCTTTGAGTACCTACGACCATGTACTCGCCATGTGGTGGCAGGTAGCGTCATGTCAAGGAGGTTCCTTTTTTGCTTTTGAGTCGACTCAAAAGTAGACTCATGTCAAGGAGGTTCCTTTTTTGTTTTTTTGCTTTTTGCTTTTTGCTTTTTTGCCAGTTCAAGACATTCCACAGCCCCTATTCCATCTCATCGCTTCCCCTTTTCTCTTCCCCACCCTCTCTATCAGCTACTGCTACAGCCCCCACCGTGTGGAGGAAGTGTCCTCCGCTGCTCTAGTGAAAGAGGTTCTGCTCCGTCGCTTCAAGACATTCCATGACCGTCCCTTGCCTCCCTATCCTCCCTGTCATCCCTGTCTCGTACCCCCTGCACTCACACCCGCCATTCCTTCAGCTACTGCTACGGCCCTCGCCGAGTGGTGGCAGTGTCGTCCCCTGCTCTAGTGAAAGAGGTTCTGCTCCGTCGCTTCAAGACATTCCATGACCGTCCCTTGCCTCCCTATCCTCCCTGTCATCCCTGTCTCGTACCCCCTGCACTCACACCCGCCATTCCTTCAGCTACTGCTACGGCCCTCGCCGAGTGGTGGCAGTGTCGTCCCCTGCTCTAGTGAAAGAGGTTCTGCTCCGTCGCTTCAAGACATTCCATGACCGCCCCATACCTCCCACTGCCAGCCCCACCACTGGCCGGGGGCTGCTGTTTGCTCGGTGCGTGTCCCTCACATTCCCCATCCCCATCCCCAACTGCTGTGGGTTCACTCCAAAGTGAATCGCCACTGCCTCTCACCATGGCCACATACCCCCCACTGCGAGCCCCACCACTGGCGGGGGCCTGCTGTTTGCTCGGTGCGTGTCCCTCACATTCCCCATCCCCATCCCCAACTGCTGCGGGTTCACTCCAAACTGAATCGCCGCTGCCTCTCACCATGGCCCCATACCCCCCACTGCGAGCCCCACCACTGGCCGGGGGCTGCTGTTTGCTCGGTGCGTGTCCCTCACATTCCCCATCCCCTTGCACAACTGATGTGGGTTCACTCCAAACTGAATCGCCACTGCCTCTCACCATGGCCCCATACCCCCCACTGCCAGCCGCACCCCTGGCCGGGGGCTGCTGTTTGCTCGGTGCGTGTCCCTTCCGTCCCTCATCCCCTTGCTTGCACCATCGCTGTGGGTTCACTCTGAATCACCACACGACTTCCATGATCGCCCCCTGCAGCCATGCCTCCCACTGCCAGCCCCACCACTGGCCGGGGGCTGCTTTTCGCCTGGTGAGTGTCCCCCACATTCCCCATCCCCATCCCCAACTGATGTGGGTTCACTCTGACTCCCCACCATCGCCTCTCACCATGGCCCCATACCTCCCACCGCCAGCCGCACCACTGGCCGGGGGCTGCTGTTTGCCCGGTGCGTGACAATTCCCTCCCACCCTTCATCACATTGTTAACTGCTGCCTTCACTTGATTTTCGAGTTAACTAAAAAACCCCTTTGTTTCCTCGATAACAGCTGTGCACTTGTGAGATTCATGCTGATAGGTAATTCCACTCACACATGAACCACGACTGCCTTCCACGATTGCTCCATAACTCAGCAAAACCACTTCCTTTTATTGAGTTTTGTGCTCCTAAAGAAGTCCTGCCCACTGCACCATTGTCATCCCTCTGCTGCCCACTCCCTCCCACTGCCCTTCCACTGCCCTCCCACTCTCAGCCCCAACCCTGTTTCCCAACCCCAACCGCTAGATCGAGGACTCCCGTGTTCCACCATCCCTCTCATCTCCATCCTGTCTCCTCCAATTCCCTCCTCTCACCTTCCCTTCCCTTCTTTGCAATTCTCTTCCAGTGGTAACCACTTGGCTGCTTTGAGGAGTGCTCTCACTCCCATGTTCCACCGTTCCACCCATCTCCACTCCTTGCACACCCATTGAGGTGTATTTTGAGGCGCCTCAAAATCCACCCATCTCCACTCCTTGCTCACCCATCCCTTCTCCTTCACTTCCCTACCCTCCACTTCTCTACCCATCACTTCCCTCTCCCTGTTTTTAGGGGTAACCACTGGGCTGGTTTGAGGAGTGCTCTCACTCCCATGTTCCACCGCTCCACCCATCTCCACTCCTTCCTTCAAGGCATGCACCGTTCCATTCTCCATATGCTGCTCCTGCCGCTGTGGGATGTGACACAAACGAGGGGAGGGAGGGAGCGAGGGAGTAAGGGAGGAGTGGTGGGGGGAGGAGGAGGGGATGGGGGGCCGTGGGAGGAGGAGGGAGCGAAGGAGGGAGGAAGGGGCGAGGAAGGGGGGAAGGAGAAGCGAGAGGAAGGGAGAGGAGTGGGAGAAGAGGGATGGGTGGAGGTGGATTTAATCTATGATGGATTATACGCGTTTAGCGTATATATGCGTATCGTATATACGCTAGCGTGTATACGCCATACGCTTGAGGGTCGGATCAGGCATACGCTTTTTCGGGCAGGGAAAAAACATTTCGGGCAGGGTGGAAAAAAATTACCCCCTATCGGTGGAAAAAACATCTCACTAAGACGTGCCCTAGCATTTTCCTGAGTCCGATCGGCGGGTGGGGTGGGGCGGGGAGTAGACATCATAGCCATAGGGAGTAGTGTTGGAGAGGCTGTTCAAGTTAGAGTGCGCGCGCGGGGACACTGCTGCAAGCGGGAATGCAAGGTAGGAATGACGGGTTAGGAGTTGGGCTGGCTGGTAAGTAGCGTGAGATTTGTTGGGGGTTCGATTTTGATAGGTTGGAGTTCGTAGATAAGATGGTTTTCAATGCGGTAGAGGGGATGGGTTCAAATGCCTAGATGGGACCTGAAATTCGACATTTGAATAGCCAGATGTGCCTGAAAACTTCGAAGTCAGATCCCAGCTTGCATAGACCGCGGATTTGCATTTCGACTTCGGCGAAATGTTCACCAAGAAAATCCGCATCTTTTCGCGATTTTACTTTTCCGGGCTGCCCGAAAAAAATTATGGCTGCGTATTGCGTATTTGCTAGCGTTTAGCGTATTGCGTGTACACGCTAGCGTAGATACGCTAAACGCAAAGGGTCTAGAGCGTATAATCCAACATAGGATTTAATGGGCATGTTTGAAGCAGTGGGGCTAGCGTCTATTGGTGCTGCTTGCTTTGGTGAAGACCTGTGGTTTCAGCAGGACAGTACTGCTACACTCACAGCTGCGACAGCCGACACTGAGGCAAACAAGCAGACAGGGGCGAAGCTAGGGGCGCACAGTAGCACTATCGACCCTGCTCCTCCTCACACCACGTTACCACCACACACAGCAGCACACTCTACCGCACCACACACTGCTGCACCGCACACTGCCTCCCTGGCACGGGCATACGGGGCGAACGAGCAGGCAGGAGCGAAGCTAGGGGCCCTCCCTTCTCTCCTCCTGGCCCTCTCCCCTGCGTGCCTGCACCCCTGGGTGCATGCACTGCTGGGTGTGCTGCCTGGGAGCACCGTGGGTGCGGCAAGGGAGAGACACCGAGAGCTGATGCTGGAGTGGAAGGTGAGGAGGTTTGGGTGTGTTGTGCTGCGTCCCATCGCTCCTCATGGCCCTCTCCCCTGCGTGCCTGCACCCCTGGGTGCATGCGCTGCTGGGTGTGCTGCCTGGGAGCACCGTGGGCGCAGCAAGGGAGAGACATCGTGAGCTGATGCTGGAGTGGAAGGTGAGGAGGTGTTCAGTGCGGTGCCTGGGTGTTACTATGTTTTGAGGTGAGGTGCCTTGAAAGCTTCTCCTCATGGCCCTCTCCCCAGCGTGCCTGCACCCCTGGGTGCATGCACTGCTGGGTGTGCTGCCTGGGAGCACCGTGGGTGCAGCGAGGAAGAGACACCGAGAGCTGATGCTTGAATGGAAGGTGAGAGGTTTGAGGCAGCACTTAGCAACTAAGGTGTTCAGTGCGGTGCCCAGAGGTACCACGTTCTCGCTATGCCCCTGGGTGCATGCGCTGCTGGGTGTGCTGCCTGGGAGCACTGTGGGTGCAGTGAGGGAGAGACATCGTGAGCTGATGCTGGAGTGGAAGGTGAGTGAGAGGTGTTGAGTGCGGTGCCCAGAGGTACCACGTTCTCGCTATGCCAACAACAGTCGCAAGGCAACACTCTCCTCCCACTCCCGCATCTGACCCTGCCATCCACCCATCTCTCCCCCGTATAACCCCCCCCCATCTCTCCCCTCCAACTCCTCCCTTTCTCACCAGCGGATGCTGGAAGCAAAGAGGCAGCAACCGTCTCAAGGCAACAGCAGCGCTGCTGACATACTGACCTTTCTCAAAAGGTACATCAGGGTGACAGACCAAACAAAAAAAAACAAAACAAAAAAAGCAAAAAACAAAACAATACACACACGCAAACAACATCGTGTACATATTCGCACAAACCCGCTCTCACAGACAGCACACACTCACAGGCACACGCACTCACAAGCACATCTTTCATTCTGTGCTGCATGCATGTCACTTCGCCCCAAGTCCGACCTCCCTATGTGAATTTCACTTTTGAGACTCCTCAAAAGTTAAATTGACATAGCATGCATGTCACTTCGCCCCAAGTCCAACCTCCCTTGTGTCCTCTTTGGCCTCCTGGGCGCCGGTGTGGGGACTTTATGGGTAATCGCCCCCTTTTTCCTTCCCCCCTTACCTTACCAACCTGCCTCACATTTTCCGAGACAAGGGCACCACATCACATCACATCACATCACATCTGCCCCCCTTCCGCCGGTCTGCACAAGTCTGACTTCCCTCTGATCCTCTTTTGAGAATTCTCAAAAGTGATTTCCGCCGGTCTGCACAAGTCTGACTTCCCTCTGATCCTCTTTTGAGAATTCTCAAAAGTGATTTCCGCCGGTCTGCACTACGACTTCCCTCTGATCCTCTTTTGAGAATTCTCAAAAGTGATTTCCGCCGGTCTGCACTACTCTGACTTCCCTCTGATCCTCTTTTGAGAATTCTCAAAAGTGATTTCCGCCGGTCTGCACTAGTCTGACTTCCCTCTGATCCTCTTTTGAGAATTCTCAAAAGTGATTTCCGCCGGTCTGCACTACTCTGACTTCCCTCTGATCCTCTTTTGAGAATTCTCAAAAGTGATTTCCGCCGGTCTGCACTAGTCTGACTTCCCTCTGATCCTCTTTTGAGAATTCTCAAAAGTGATTTCCGCCGGTCTGCACTAGTCTGACTTCCCTCTGATCCTCTTTTGAGAATTCTCAAAAGTGATTTCCGCCGGTCTGCACTAGTCTGACTTCCCTCTGATCCTCTTTTGAGAATTCTCAAAAGTGATTTCCGCCGGTCTGCACTAGTCTGACTTCCCTCTGATCCTCTTTTGAGAATTCTCAAAAGTGATTTCCGCCGGTCTGCACTACTCTGACTTCCCTCTGATCCTCTTTTGAGAATTCTCAAAAGTGATTTCCGCCGGTCTGCACTACTCTGACTTCCCTCTGATCCTCTTTTGAGAATTCTCAAAAGTGATTTCCGCCGGTCTGCACTAGTCTGACTTCCCTCTGATCCTCTTTTGAGAATTCTCAAAAGTGATTTCCGCCGGTCTGCACTACTCTGACTTCCCTCTGATCCTCTTTTGAGAATTCTCAAAAGTGATTTCCGCCGGTCTGCACTACTCTGACTTCCCTCTGATCCTCTTTTGAGAATTCTCAAAAGTGATTTCCGCCGGTCTGCACAAGTCTGACTTCCCTCTGATCCTCTTTTGAGAATTCTCAAAAGTGATTTCCGCCGGTCTGCACTAGTCTGACTTCCCTCTGATCCTCTTTTGAGAATTCTCAAAAGTGATTTCCGCCGGTCTGCACTAGTCTGACTTCCCTCTGATCCTCTTTTGAGAATTCTCAAAAGTGATTTCCGCCGGTCTGCACTACTCTGACTTCCCTCTGATCCTCTTTTGAGAATTCTCAAAAGTGATTTCCGCCGGTCTGCACTAGTCTGACTTCCCTCTGATCCTCTTTTGAGAATTCTCAAAAGTGATTTCCGCCGGTCTGCACTAGTCTGACTTCCCTCTGATCCTCTTTTGAGAATTCTCAAAAGTGAATTCCGCCGGTCTGCACTAGTCTGACTTCCCTCTGATCCTCTTTTGAGAATTCTCAAAAGTGATTTCCGCCGGTCTGCACTAGTCTGACTTCCCTCTGATCCTCTTTTGAGAATTCTCAAAAGTGATTTCCGCCGGTCTGCACTAGTCTGACTTCCCTCTGATCGTCTTTTGACAATTCTCAAAAGTGATTTCCGCCGGTCTGCACTAGTCTGACTTCCCTCTGATCGTCTTTTGACAATTCTCAAAAGTGATTTCCGCCGATGTGCACTAGTCTGACTTCCCTCTGATCGTCTTTTGAGAATTCTCAAAAGTGATTTCCGTCGGTCTGCACTAGTCTGACTTCCCTCTGATCGTCTTTTGACAATTCTCAAAAGTGATTTCCGCCGGTCTGCACTAGTCTGACTTCCCTCTGATCCTCTTTTGAGAATTCTCAAAAGTGATTTCCGTCGGTCTGCACTAGTCTGACTTCCCTCTGATCCTCTTCTGAGAATTCTCAAATTTTGAGAATTCTCAAAAGTGATTTCCGCCGGTCTGCACTAGTCTGACTTCCCTCTGATCGTCTTTTGACAATTCTCAAAAGTGATTTCCGCCGGTCTGCACTAGTCTGACTTCCCTCTGATCCTCTTTTGAGAATTCTCAAAAGTGATTTCCGCCGGTCTGCACTAGTCTGACTTCCCTCTGATCCTCTTTTGAGAATTCTCAAAAGTGATTTCCGTCGGTCTGCACTAGTCTGACTTCCCTTTGATCCTCTTTTGAGAATTCTCAAAAGTGATTTCCGCCGGTCTGCACTAGTCTGACTTCCCTCTGATCCTCTTTTGAGAATTCTCAAAAGTGATTTCCGCCGGTCTGCACTAGTCTGACTTCCCTCTGATCCTCTTTTGAGAATTCTCAAAAGTGATTTCCGCCGGTCTGCACTAGTCTGACTTCCCTCTGATCCTCTTTTGAGAATTCTCAAAAGTGATTTCCGCCGGTCTGCACTAGTCTGACTTCCCTCTGATCCTCTTTTGAGAATTCTCAAAAGTGATTTCCGCCGGTCTGCACTAGTCTGACTTCCCTCTGATCCTCTTTTGAGAATTCTCAAAAGTGATTTCCGCCGGTCTGCACTAGTCTGACTTCCCTCTGATCCTCTTTTGAGAATTCTCAAAAGTGATTTCCGTCGGTCTGCACTAGTCTGACTTCCCTCTGATCCTCTTTTGAGAATTCTCAAAAGTGATTTCCGTCGGTCTGCACTAGTCTGACTTCCCTCTGATCCTCTTTTGACAATTCTCAAAAGTGATTTCCGTCGGTCTGCACTAGTCTGACTTCCCTCTGATCGTCTTTTGAGAATTCTCAAAAGTGATTTCCGCCGGTCTGCACTAGTCTGACTTCCCTCTGATCGTCTTTTGAGAATTCTCAAAAGTGATTTCCGCCGGTCTGCACTAGTCTGACTTCCCTCTGATCGTCTTTTGAGAATTCTCAAAAGTGATTTCCGCCGGTCTGCACTAGTCTGACTTCCCTCTGATCGTCTTTTGAGAATTCTCAAAAGTGATTTCCGCCGGTCTGCACTAGTCTGACTTCCCTCTGATCGTCTTATGACAATTCTCAAAAGTGATTTCCGCCGGTCTGCACTAGTCTGACTTCCCTCTGATCGTCTTTTGACAATTCTCAAAAGTGATTTCCGCCGGTCTGCACTAGTCTGACTTCCCTCTGATCCTCTTTTGAGAATTCTCAAAAGTGATTTCCGCCGGTCTGCACTAGTCTGACTTCCCTCTGATCCTCTTTTGAGAATTCTCAAAAGTGATTTCCGCCGGTCTGCACTAGTCTGACTTCCCTCTGATCCTCTTTTGAGAATTCTCAAAAGTGATTTCCGCCGGTCTGCACTAGTCTGACTTCCCTCTGATCGTCTTTTGAGAATTCTCAAAAGTGATTTCCGTCGGTCTGCACTAGTCTGACTTCCCTCTGATCCTCTTTTGAGAATTCTCAAAAGTGATTTCCGCCGGTCTGCACTAGTCTGACTTCCCTCTGATCGTCTTTTGACAATTCTCAAAAGTGATTTCCGCCGGTCTGCACTAGTCTGACTTCCCTCTGATCGTCTTTTGACAATTCTCAAAAGTGATTTCCGCCGGTCTGCACTAGTCTGACTTCCCTCTGATCGTCTTTTGAGAATTCTCAAAAGTGATTTCCGCCGGTCTGCACTAGTCTGACTTCCCTCTGATCGTCTTTTGAGAATTCTCAAAAGTGATTTCCGCCGGTCTGCACTAGTCTGACTTCCCTCTGATCGTCTTTTGAGAATTCTCAAAAGTGATTTCCGCCGGTCTGCACTAGTCTGACTTCCCTCTGATCGTCTTTTGAGAATTCTCAAAAGTGATTTCCGCCGGTCTGCACTAGTCTGACTTCCCTCTGATCCTCTTTTGAGAATTCTCAAAAGTGATTTCCGCCGGTCTGCACTAGTCTGACTTCCCTCTGATCCTCTTTTGAGAATTCTCAAAAGTGATTTCCGCCGGTCTGCACTAGTCTGACTTCCCTCTGATCCTCTTTTGAGAATTCTCAAAAGTGATTTCCGCCGGTCTGCACTAGTCTGACTTCCCTCTGATCCTCTTTTGAGAATTCTCAAAAGTGATTTCCGCCGGTCTGCACT